CACCTCACTGAGCCAATCCAGAACCTAGGTGTCTTGTTTGACCCACAACTGTCCTTTCTACATCACATCAATGTCATGACCCGCTCGGGCTTCCCCCACCTCCACAACATCGCCTGCTCCACCATTGCCTCACCCCTCAGGCCACCGAAACCCTCGGATTCATCACATCTTTGGAGTCCTGTAGCTCAGTGGTTAGAGCACTCGTTTTGTAAGCGAGAGACCTGAGTTCAATTCCAGGCAGGGCGAAACCTTGGGCAAGTTTCCTTACTCCACACCCCTAATAATAATCCCTCCCAAAAAACAAAACAATAATAAATTGGTCATTTTCAATCCATGACTGTTTGTGGGACATTGCTGTGTGCAATTGGCTGCCGCGTTCGCCCACAAATATACAGTCAATTCACTTTACAGTGTGTTCTGTGAAACGCTTTGGGACGTCCTCCCGATGTGAAAAGCGCTATATCAAATGCAAGGATTATTATTATTATTATTATCTAGACTCGAGTACGTCAACTCCCTGCTTGTCAGCCTTCACAATTCTTCCCTCCACAAGATAAAGATCATCCAGAACTCTGACGCTCGTGTCTGCTCCTGCACCAGACTCTGTATCGCCATCACCCCACTCTCACCCAGCTCCACTGGCTCCCCATCCCATAGGGGATAGAATAAAGATCCTTGTCCTCGCCTTCAAGGCCCTCCATGGCCTTGCCCCTGCCTACCTCTGCAACCTGCTAACCCCATGTCAATCTGTCCGCTCCTTCCGCTCAGCAGGCTCTGGCTGGCAACATGTCCCCTGCCTGGCCTGCTCCACTATCAGCGGCCAGGCCTTCAGCCTTTCTGCCCCCATCCTATGGAACTCCATCCCACAATCCCTTTGCTTTGCTCCCACTCTTGCCTCTTTTAACACGTCTCAAAACCCTCCTTTTCAACCAAGCCTTCGGCCACCCTCCTACCATCCCTGATCCTGACCCCCAGCTTGGGTCCAAATCCCTAACTATCCAGCACCTTGGGACGTCCTCCCAAAGTGAAAGGCGCTATACAAATGTAGTTTATATGTATGTACATAAAGGCTTGTCTGACAATGGTGGGGCGGGCTAGGCGGGAGACATGGAGAAGACCAGAGTCCACTTAACAGAGGGAGTTGATAGGTCAGTATGAAGTTAGCAGGACACAGAGATAGTTAGGAGCAAGGCCGTGGAGGGCTTTGAAAGTGAGGACATGGATTTTGAACTCTATCCTCTGGGGGATGGGGAGCCAATGGAGCCGGGCATAGAATGCGTCCATTTGACCTTTCTGCATGGCAACCTGCTTTAGAGCTCAGCCCGGTTGAGCATGAGTTTGCTTATAGTCCTGTAGTCCTGTAGCTCAGTGGTTAGAGTACTTGCCTTGCAAGTGAGACACCTGAGTTCAATTCCAGGCAGGGCGAAACCTTGGGCAAGTTTCCTCACTCCACACGCCTAATAATAATCCCTCCAAAACAAAATAATAAAAAACACTAATAAATTGGTCATTTTCAATCCACGTCTGTTTGTGGGACACTGCTGTGCGCAATTGACTGCCATGTTTCGCCCACAAATATACAGTCAATTCACTTTACAGTCTATTCTGTGAAGCACTTTGAGACGTCGAGAAGAAGTGAAAAAGTACTGTATAATATGCAAGGATTATTATTATTTTTATAGTGCGTGAAATCTCCTGAGATTTATATAATAGCAAGGTTACCAGCGTGAAGCCCTACATTAGTATCTTTCATTTAAATTCTGAAGCTGAAAGGATATACAGTACTGCATATCCAAAAGACATGGTACAGCATTAGTTAACCTTGAAAGAGGTTTGGGTGCACCCATTGAGATTTGACCCTTTCTCCCCTTTCTCCAGTCCAGTGCTCAGCAAACCGAGTCACTATAATTCCAATATCAATTTAACATTGTTTGGAAGCAGATTATTGAGACTCAGCAAACAGGTTATCAATCACGAACATGAATCATATGCCACCCTGAAACCAAACTCACCCATACGTGTAATTAAATCTGTTTCAGTAACCAATATTATTCATGCAACTGAGCAAACAACTTAAATCAAGCAACTACTGTTGTTTGCACAGAATATTTTATTAGTGGTAGAAAATTACTTGTTGTAGAACTATACACCACTCAACCTGATAACAAGTGCATATATTTCATACAACCGAGTAGAAGCAGTCCAGTTAACTGCAGTGTAATACTGCTATGTCGAGCCATTGATCAAAATATGTCGGGGCAACCACCAGAAAGATCATCTCAAAGTCCTTACCAGAATACATTGTAAAGTGAATTGACTATATTTTGTGGGAAAAAACAATTTTTTGCGGGGAAAGGGATTATTACCCTTATTTTTGGAGGGATTATTATCCCCAGATTATTATTACATTTATTATTATTACATTTATTATTTTATGAAAGTAATCTACCATTTGACTTCTGATAGTTTGTTCCATTAGTTTTCCAACTATTCATGTCAGGTTAATAGCTGCCAGTTTCGGCTCTGACAACCTTTTTAAATATGGGAACCACATTTACATGTTCTAAATCTATGGTAATCTCACCAAGTGGTACTTAATGGACTCCCTCAAAATATCTGTCAGTGTTTCACAAATCTCTCCCTTCTTCCTTGTTTAGAATTTAGAGTAACATTAACATTTAGAGTAAACATTAAGTTTAGAGTAACATTCTGAATTTAGAGTAAATTCTGATTTAAAACTGACCCAGAAATAATGCCTCTATGTAGCTCACGATGCCAGAGTTCAGGCAATCTCAACCAGCAGCACATAAAAACTCAAAAGTGTTTCAATTTTGCATCTGAATCATTTGTGGGCCATAGAACTATTAAAATGTGATTTGGTATGATAACTGGATATAATAAAATTCATTGTCCAGCATTGTCATCTCTCAGTCTCTCTTACATTTTGGAGGCCCACCAATGTATTGTAGTGGATTAATCTTGTAATATTAGTAATAATAAATGTGACAATTCACACTTTGCTCCAAATCCTAATGTTTCCTTGTGGTACACTGTCACAGAGCTCCATCTAATACACAAACTCTCAACCATGGTCCTATGTTCTTTTCTACCCATCGGAAAAGATGTGAGTGGCAGAGCTGTCTCCTGTACAATAACAACTCACAGTGCATGGACTATCTGACAAACTGTACTTTGCAGCTTTAAATGCCATCAGTGTCAGCTTACAGTTTCTTAAAAGACATCTCAGATCTCAGTTACTGACCTTCTGCAATTTCTGTGAACTGTGTATGTGTAAAAAAACAGATTGAGCCAGTTTTATCTGTAACCAATTGTACTTCTGAAACATGCCTCACTGTCAACTACGTTAACAATATTTGATCAATTTGTCCTGAGGTGTGCGCGGGAAAGGATCTTTTAAATGTTTGCCTGCCAAATACACAGTCACTACACTTGACAGTAAATTCTATGACGTGCTTTGAGATGTCCTTCCAACGTGAAAAGGCACTATATCGAATGTAAAGATCATTTTTAAAAATGACTAGTTACTATGGCTAATAATGGTATAATCTCTAGAACTACTGAACCAAACCCGTTTTGTAATAATGCAGGATTTGTCTCCTGTGAAATATGTTAAGATCACAAGATTGGTCTGGGTGAAGCCTCTTTGGCTCATTTGATCTCAACTTAGCCTTTAGGTTTTCACTTTCAGTTAAGATTTTGAGAACAACTCGCTAAATCAAGAACATTTTAAATATTGAAACACTGAACATTCTAAGTACTGCAACGCTGATTGCTGAAATGAGTGATCTTTTCATTATATCATGAATCAAATATTTCCTTAGTAAGCGTGTCCAGGAAAAATGACCAAGCTGTGGATAGATATCAGGAATTAGAAAAGGATTGAGCTATTTAGCCCAAATTTTATTTTTAATTGGTCAAAGATGGAATTTCCCATTGAACACAGAACTCTCCAATAGTTCTTTGCTGTCCAAGCTGTGGAAATTGGCTCTCCCTTCAAGGAAGAAAGCATTGATGAGGCATAAGTGATGTCAATCTGGCTGCCCCTCAGGAGAACCCAGCACTTTCTGCTGTCCTCCGTATGTTCAGGTTGTGAGGCACTATGGATGAATAAGTATTTTCTCAGGCATTTCCAAAGCTGAACAAAGGTTTGGAAATGCTTCTGCAATCTTTGGCTGGGATAAATTACCGGATGGTGGTAACTTTATTTGTAGTTTTCAGAGTTGTTTCTATCCCTTTCACACAATTTATTTTCTCCCTATCCCACTGTCCTGAAAGTTGTAATGTTTCAGCGCTTCTGTAAGCACCGTTCTTTCTGTCTGAACCTAGAACAGTGAGTGGTAGTTCAATTATAGGGAGGGAGCATACCACCGAAGGCTGATTTTAATCAGTGTCCACATACCTACAGTTTCCAACAATGTTTTTTTTGATTATTTCTGCTTCTTTCAGCAATTTTTTTTTGGTCAACTGGGTGTCTGATACATTTGGAAAACCATCACCATGAGAATTCCATGCAAATTTCATGCATCCCACTTATACATGGAAATTCCAGATAGATTGTTGGAATGGAATGTGTACTCTCTGTCTGCAAGGACTTATAACTTATAACCATCCAGTCTGCATAATCTAATGCTCTTTCATCTCACTTAGAGGTCTTGTTAAATTTGAACCTATATCATTTAGCTCCAACCTCATAATCCAAGTAAATAATAATAAAATAATCCATGCAATTGATATAGCTCCTTATTGTGTCGTTGAGAGGTCTCAAAGCACTTCACCGAATATATATTGTAAAGTGGATTGACTGTGTATTTTGTGGGCGAATAAATAAATAGTTGCTGAATTATGTTTATTTCCTCCCGATGTGAAAGACGCTATACAAATGTAATTTAGTGTTGTATGTTATTGTATTTCTGAATGTAACAAATTAGCTTATTAAGAAAACCTACAAATTTCTTTGCATTTTCTTTCTTTTGTTGCAGGTCACCATTCTCATATTCCTCGCTCTTGCATTCCTTGCTTGTATAGTCTTCTTAGTGGTATACAAAGCCTTCACCTATGATCACAGTTGCCCAGATGGATTTGTGTACAAGGTAAGGGGTTTAGAAAGGAAGAAATCCTTCCAACAGCAGGATTTGCAGAATGAACATATTCATATTAAAAATATTCTAGCATTTAAATTGCAATCATGAATGATCTATTGCTAAAGCTTTATTGCAGTTTATTGCAGTTTCTTGCCCAAGTGTATGAACTTTTCTTATAGCACTCTGCTCAATTACGAATCATCATAACATCAATGGATTTAAGATGTGTGCAGAATCTAGCAGATTCAAAACAAGATCCTATTATTTCATAGGATGAAATGAATCATAGGTTTGGTTACAGAATAATATTTTTTGCTAGCAATATTTGCTACAAATAATAACGTAATTATCCTTGCATTCGGCACAGCCCCTTAGCACGCGTCAAGATGTCGCAAAGTGCTTCAAAAGATTCACTGTAAAGTGTAGTGATTATGCATTTGTGGGTGAACTCAGCAGGCAATCTGCGCATGTCAATGAAGAGCCATGACCTGAATGATCACATTTTATTTTATTTGTGGGATTGTTGGCCATAATAGGGGCAGGAACCCCTTTTTCTTTTCAAATAGTGCCATGGGATCCTTAAAGTCTACCTGAACAAGCTGAACAAGACTGTAGGTAAAATACTGCAGATGCTGCAAAATCTGAAATAAATATAGAAGTCGCTGGGAACACGCAGCAGGTCAAGCAGCATTTATAGAGAGAGGAAAATGAGTCAACGTTTCAAGTTGATGTTTCAGTTTCAATTACAAGTTTCAGGCTCTGACGAAAGGTCATCGACCTGAAATGTTAACTCATTTTCCTCTCTTCATGGTGCTGTGTGTTCCCAATGACTTCTGTTTTTATTATTGAACAAGACTGTGTATGGCTTTGATATTCACCACTAAATTCAACTATGTAATTGAAGAAGATCTTGTTTTAAAGTCTGATTTGCAATTGCCTGATTATGAGACAAATGATTTTTAATGCCATAATAATTACGCTCACACTGAGTGAAAACAATTATCTGCTACATTTCCCATATGTTTAATTCTATTTACTTCACACTATTGAATTATGCCTTCCCAGTATAAGTAATACAAATATTCAGAAGCCTTACTCAGCTGTGTGGGAGGGTGATGCTGGCAGACACTTTGGGGATCCATATGGAAAGATTTAGAAATACTGTATTGCTACTCCTGTGGAGTCCTGCAGCTTAGTGGTTAGAGCACTCACTTCGCAAGCAAGAGGACCTGGATTCGATTCCCGGGTGGGGCGAAACTTTAGGCAAGTTTCCTGACTCCACATGGCTCTGTTTACCTAGCAGTAAGTGGGAAGCCGGTTGATTGGTGGATCGCTTTCTGGGGGTAAGAAATATATATAATAATAATTCGGTCACTCAATCCAGAACTGTTTGTGGGACACTACTGTGTGCAATGGACTGCTGGATTTTACCCACACTATATACAAGCACTTTACAGTATATTCAGTGAAGTGCTTTGAGACGTCGCAAGACATGGTAAGGCGTTATATCAAATGCAAGGATTATTATTATTATGTGTCTACTAAGCTTACATAATTCTACACTGTTTTTTTTCCTCAACCCTCCCTGCAGCATAAACGCTGTATACCAGCATCCCTTGAAGCCTACTATTCAGCACAAGACTCCACCTCCCAAGGACGATTCTACACTGTCATCAGCCACTACAGCCTGGCCAAACAAACCACCTCCCGTTCGGTGTCACCTTGGCTGCCTGGTACCTCAGATGAAAAGACAGCAGAAGATGATTCAAAATCTTCAAGCAACAATAGTCACTGAGCAACTTACACAGAGTGAGGTTCTGTAAAACAACACAAGTGTGAAAGGTGTTTAGGTCGCTGATCAATCGAAAATGTTACCGCACTAAGCAGTGCAAAAAAAAAAGCGGTGTTTGGATTATACGATAGTCGTTTCTTTTGTCCCTCATCCTTATTGATTTGTAATTGATTCTGAAGCTTTTGTACAAAGGCATGTTTGATGTTGCTGCACTTCACACACTATAAGCTCATTTTTGAATAACCCATGTGAGGACATCTTACCCTCGATGACTTTGCCTCTTATTGTTTGATTGCATTTTTAGAAAATCCGGCGTTGGTGAGTGCCCCCTCCCCATCCCCCCCATCCTGTCCCACTCCCACTTCCCCCTCCCCCATCCCGCCCCATTCCCCCCTCCCCCATCCCGCCCCATTCCCCCCTCCACCGCCCCACCCCACTCCCCCCTCCCCCTCCCCATCCCATCCCACTTCCTCTCCCACTCCGCCTTCCCCTGTCCCCCCCCCACTCCCCCTCCCACCCTGTTCCCCTCTCTCCGTCCCATTCCACTCCCCCCGCCCTGCCCCATCCCACTCCCCAGAGCAAAAGCTGTGTGCTTCGCATCATTCTTTGGAATAGAGCATTTCCCGCATGAGCAGTTTATGTGCATGAAAGTGTTGCAAGTGTGGCTGACGTATTCAGGGTTAGTTATCATCATCATGAGGTTGTCATCCACAAAGGCTGTGCATTCTCCAGAAGTAAAACACGTATCGTAGGCTTATATAATACAGCTGATCACGTACATTTTTCTAATGCCCACAGGCTGTTCCTGGATACAACAGTAATGTTTATGCTTCTAAAGGGATAGACTGGTTAGTTGCTGTACATATGAATTCTTGTTATCAAGGGATTAGTTCGGGATTTATACATTAGATTTCACATGAATTAACAGATTTGTAGTTAAAGCTTGGTAGAACATTGTAATGACTAGTACTTAACACAAGCACAGAACATCTTTCTCATGTTTTCACTTGTAATTTTTTCATCGTCGACTGTGTTGATTTTCAGCTAATGTAAAAAAAAGGAATAATTTATAACTCCTCGTGGTGTATTTTTGTCATTATCTAGCAGAAACTAAAGTATTTTTTGGTTGTGTTTCTTGGGATTTTACCGACAAAAGAAATAAAGCTGGATGTTTCTGACATTTTCAACTGTTTCTTGCTTTTTTATTTCCATAGAAGGTCACATGTAGATTGCAATAAAATATTAAACACATTTACTTGTTGCAATATACAATGATTTAGTTGAAACATTCCGCAAGGCACTGTTATATGCCAAGTTACGCATAATAACAATGATAATGTGCTTTTTGCCAACATCAGTGAATTTCATCTTCTGTGGTTCAATCATCACAGTTTTCTACCACACTAACACATAGACTGCCCTGAGCCAGACTTCTTGGGTTCATCATTATTTCAGCTCCGGGACTAACTAAGCCCAAGGTGTATGTGTTAAAAAGAAGCACTGAGTTAAAGCAGCGGCTCAACGACAACACGGGGTTCACCATTTATAATTCAACTCTTCCTAGCGTGTATATGGGAGCACAAAAACCTGCACAGAGAAATCTTAGCAGTAATGCAGCAAGCAAACAAACAGAATTAATAATAATCCTTGCATTTGATATGACGCCTTCCACGTTGGGAGAGCACTTCAAGGCACTTCGCAGGATTTACTGTAAAGTGTACCACAACAACAACTTGTATTTATATAGCACCCTTCACGCTACATATTATTCACATCTGCTTAACAATAATCTTTGTATTTGACATTGTGCCTTATCACATTGAGACATCTCAAAGCGCTTCACAGGATTTCACTGTAAAGTAACGAAATGGTCACGTCAGTGCCCCAAAAACAGCTGTAAAATGAGTGAACAATTTTATTTGTGGGATTGTTGGCCAGGAGACTGGGATAGTGCTACGGGATCTTTAACATTCACTTAAGTAGGCACAGACGGGACTTCGGTTTAACACCACCACCAATTGCACCTATATAGTGCCCTCCACTCAGGGTAGCGTCTCAGAGCACTTAACAGTGGCAGAGACTGACTCCAAGCTGGGGGTGGGGGGGAGGGAGGTGGACATAAGCACGGTCGAAGAGGAAGGTTTTCAGGTAGGACTTGAAAAAGGGGAGAGAAGAGGCAAGGTGGAGGGATTGATGGAGAGTGTTCCAGAGCTTTGGGGCGTAGTTTTGAGTTCAAGATCCTTGTCCTCACCTTCGAGTTCAAGATCCTTGTCCTCACCTTTAAGGCCATCCATGACCTTGCTCCCTCCTACCTCTCTGACATGCTGACTCCCTGCCAACCTGCCCCGCCCTCCGTTCATCAGGCTCTGGCCTGCTCCATGTCTCCCGCCTGACCCGCCCTACCATCGGTGGCTGGGCTTTCAGACTCTCTGCCCCCACACTCTGGAACTCTATCCCAAGTTCCCTTCGCCTCACTTCCTCCCTTGCATCCTTCAAGGCTGGTCTCAAGAACCATCTCTTCGATCGTGCCTTTGGTCTCCCTCCCACCTCTCTGCCTTCCCTCATCCCTACACCACCCCTCCCCCATGCTCGGGCCCCGACATCTGACTATACAATTCTTTGGGATGTCCTCCCGACGTGAAAGGCACTCTATAAATGTAATTTTGTTGTTGTAGTGGCTAAATGCGCAACCTCCAATAATGACGCAGAGGGCGCAACAGACAAGCAAGAGGCTGGTGCCAGTGGAGTGGAGGCTGGCGCTGCATGGTGGATTAGGGAGTGAGGAGGTTGGAGATGTAGGGAGGTGCCAGGGTGTGAAGGGATTTGAAAATGAGAAGTTTAACATCTCATCTGAAGGACAGCGGCTGTGGTATTTTAGCGCTCCCCCAGCACTGCACTGGAAAATATCTTAAGCTGAATACATTTGCCTGTACCAGATTGTACAAACCAAACTGCAAATATTAGTAATTACTAATTAGTATTTATTAATATTAATATTATTAATATAAAATACTAATATTAATATCAAGATAATTTAAACTTGTGCAGCAAGCTGTGCCTCCTTCATAACAAAAATAAAAAGTCCTGGAAGCAATATAAGATGAATAAGTCAATTTGGCATGCGCAGTAATGAACATAAATTTGCAATTCATGATAGTTTCACTCAAAATCTAACCGAAGATGGGGCTCTCCTAATTTAGGGTTCCTTTCATTAAGATGTCTTAATGTTGAAAAAGAATTCCTGGTCAGTCGTCTATAACCATTGCAATCAATATATAGATTATTGCAAAGACACTGATATGTGGTGATTCTGAGAAGAAAAAAACGCAGCTTTCATAGTGTAACATAGACACCCTTCAAATTTATAAATTATTGAAAGGTTCTGCCAATCCAGGCTTGCAAGTCCAGATTGTGTTTATTACGTGCATTCAGTTCTGCAACTGAGGTGTACCAGCTGTTAGGCTGTCACAAAGGATGTTCTGTAGGAATTAACAGTTTGTGTCGTGGCTATGCCAATGCATTAAAACAAAGTCATCAATATCACTTGCAATGGAAAGGACTGGCATATGCTATCAGCAATCAGCCTGAAGTCATCATCAAGTTTACTTGCACTGAGCTGATGGAGATGATTCCTAGACTATTTGTTCTGCGGAAATTGTTCTGTTCAGCATTGCATCTTGCCTTTCCCCCATTGCCATTTAATGTTGCACATTTTGCTTTTCTAGGGTCAAATATGTGGGCTGCCCCATTACCTTGGAGAAATGATCGTAATAATGATAATCTTTGCATTTGGTATACCACTGTTAAAGTCGGGTGGATGTCTGAAGTCGCTTCACATGATTCATACATATATACTGCATTCAACTTTTCCAAAAAAACAGTCCATTCATTCCCAGCTGTTATTGCAGGTTGACATATTCTGCATTCTTCATGAAATGAGCCAGGAGATCTGTGTACCCACATCACCACTGTTTCTCTTCCCTCCCTTGCCTCCTTCAAGACCCGTGTCAAGACCCTCCTCTTCGACCGAGTCTTCATTCACCCTCTTACTCCACCCTCACTGTCCTCCACCCCCCCAATCCCAACCCCCAGCTTGGGTGCAAATTCCTGACTATCCAGCACCTTGGGACATCCTCTCGATGTGAAAAGTGCTGTGTAAATCAAATTTGTTGTTGTTGCCTCACTTACTTTCCAGTTCCTCAGTTGCCCATTCACTTTGGCTGTATAGAGCTCCTTTATTCAGCTTGATTTTGTGGGCCACATTCTTAAGATAGATTAGCATTAATACCAGATGGAGAACTGGCACAATGGATGCTCACAGTAGATTCTCTGAGCATTTTCCTCCATGTGTAGCTCAGCAGATCCCTTTCTTTACCTGTTGAGGTTCAGAACTGCCACGCTCACTGGAACACGCCAGATAATTAGTTTACTCATAATCAGATAGTTGATTGGAAAGTACTCTAGTGTTCAGCTGCCACTATCTCATCTCACCAGTGCATCATTTAATCTGTTGTCATTGCTATTCCTGAATCAGCTTCACAATTTTACAAGGACCGCTTCCTTTGAAGTTAAGAAATAATAAATAATAGTAATCCTTGCATTTGATATATCGCTTTTCACGTCTTTGAGACATCTCAAAACGCTTCAAAGAATATATTGTAAAGTGAATTCACTATATTTGTGGGCGAAATGCAGCAGCCAATTGCCCACAGCAGTGTCCCACAAACAGTCGTGGATTGAATGACCAAATTATTATTTTATTATTTATTTTCTTGAGGGATTATTATCAGGCGTGTGGAGTAAGGAAACGTTCCCAAGGTTTCGCTCTGATGGAATCGAACCCAGGTCTCTCGCTTATGAGGCGAGTGCTGTAACTACTGAGCTACAGGACTCCATTGGAATCATTCATTTCTGAGCTCTTTTTACTTAAAACACTGGCTCACTGAGTAAAATAGTCTTCTTTTCATGTTGTTTTATTTTCTTTCTTTGCAATAAATACCATTGTTCCCCAGGAGCCAGGTAATTATATTGAGGTAATGATTTCTCCTTTGTGAAATTGACACAGCGGATTGATAGTTCAGTGATTTCATTTTCAGAGGGTTGATTGGTCAACTATATTAAGTCTCTGGAGGTATCATAAGTGTTTCATTCACATTTCTAAAGGTCATGTTCGGAACGCAGAAAAAAATAATTCCTGAACAATGCAGAATAATAATAGTATTCCGTGCATTTGATACATTTCATGTCTGAAGCGTTTCACAGGATTCACTGTAAAGTGTAGTGTCTTAATAATAATAATAATAATAATCATTGCATTTGATATAGAGCTTTTCATGTCGGGAGGACGTCCCAAGCGCTTCACAG